CAATTGATCTTCGTACTGTTTCACGAAGCATTCACCAACAGGGAAGAATTCCCAATCGCGATTGTCATATTTCTCGCGTACATACGTTTCTTGGCCCGTATACTCCGTCTCATCTTTGTTCACCAGATGTTGCAAGAAGAAACTGAAATAAAGTGCGGTTGAAACTCTTTTTTATATTTATACTTTCATTCTTTGTTCAGTCACAGATAATCGTCCAACTGCGCAGCTAGCAATTTTTCCAGTTGCACTGACCAGTGGTCAGTCTATTGGCGATCTTGTCGTTCACTCCACTCCCTCAAAAGTATTCCAACTGAGCAGTTCCCTTGGCAAAAGTGCTTTGCAAAGTTTGTTATGTTAATTCAGAAAAGGAAAATCTGCTGCATCAGTAAACAGCGGCAATAAAAAATGAAATTTTCCAAACAGGATATGTTTTCCGCCCCATTACTAGCTGTTAATGGACCCTGCATATCAGTAAACGATATCTCAGAAAACGACTAATGGCTTGAAAAAAAAATGCTTGCCCAACGAATAAGTCGAAAGTGACTACGAAATATACTGCAATGCTTCTGACAAAAATAAGTTTAAAATCCTTCAGTAATTTACAGTTTATACGAGAAGGTACTCTAAAGTAGCCTGACTAGCTAAACATATATGCCGACAGCAACCATCCGCAAAAAAAAAAAAAAACAAAAAATAGTTTTCGTTTGGTATCATGAAAAGATAGCACTACTCTTGTGCTCAAGGTTAAGGATTGTTCTAATATTTCAGTGGAAAACCAGTCTCTCTACGATTCATTCGTTTCGATGGTAAATTGGTACTAGCATATGTCAAGCAGTCAAAATTACTAAGGTGTCAACCCTGTCAAAACAGAAACTAATCTCTTGGAAATCAGTATTGGAATTAAGCATCAAAAAACAGTGCCTTAGAATAATCTAAAGTCCATTAGAGGACAAACTAACAGATAGTTAGCAAAGTTGTGTTCTTTTGATGTGTGTATTTCAAAGCCACGTGGTAGACGATCGAATGTTTCTTTGCCAATGTCACAAATGAAACATGACGATTCCAGCTTTTCGGTAGCCGATTCTTGCTGATCTCGCAGTTCACCGAAGGCATCGATTATCAGACCTAAAGCGGAACAAAATGAGGTTTTGCAGTACAAGAAATGAGGTTTCAGTCCTTTGCTCTTTCTTGTCCCATATATTATGAAGAAAAACAAAAGCACTTATCGGGGGCTGCAGTGATGTCAATCAAGTAACTAGCCAGTTTCTAGGGATATTTCATAGTGGTTGATACTGGCATTTGTTAGTATTTCAGTACCTCCTGTGATCCCCTCGGCCACTAGCACAGGGCAGATGTAGGAGATTTTTACTTTTGATCTTAGCCTCATTCTGTTGCTAATTAGGCTCGCCTGCCGTAAATTATAAAAGAATCCGAAAATCTACTTTTTCAGTTATGCATCCCTTTTACAGTTATGGAAAGGCATAAGAAAACGCTTTGTCCAATATTTGAGCAATTTCAGTGCTTCAGCTCTACCTCGGCCGATCGTTTCTTGCACAATATTTAAAAGCAAAACCCCTAACCCTGCATAATGGCAAGTAGGATAATGATGACGAAGAAGAAGAAGGAAATGTCGTAAAGCATTCGCCAGTACTCCAGGTCATCGCCGTATGGTGATTCCAATTCGTCACCAATACCACCACCGGCTCGTACACCCGCATAGAAATGATAG